GGGGTGCAATGGGGGTGCAATGGGGTGCAATGGGGGTGCAATGGGGTGCAGTGGGGGTGCAATGGGGTGCAGTGGGGGTGCAATGGGGATGCAATGGGGCTGCAATGGGGCTGCAATGGGGATGCAATGGGGGGGTCCAAGGGTGAAGCCCTGGGGTGGGCACGTGACCCTCGGGGATAGGGCGATGCGGGGCGTCCCCGGGCTCACCGCGATAACGTTGACGAAGGTGGTCTTGCCCGAGTACTGCAGCCCCACCAGGGTCAGCTCCATCTCCTCCTTCCAGAACAGCGCCCGGAACCAGTCCAGCAGCTTGTTGAAGAGCGCCAGCATGGTGCCGGCTGGGCCGGGCCGCGCTGAGCGGGGCCGAGTTGAGCCGAGCGGAGCCGGGCCGGGCCGGGCCGAGCGGGGCCGGGCCGGGCCGAGCCGAGCGGGGCCGAGCCGAGCCGAGCGGGGCCGGGCCGGGCAGGGCCGAGCGAGGCCGAGTGGAGCCGAGCGAGACCGAGTCGGGGCGGGGCCAGTCGGGGTGGAGCCGATCGGGGCCGGGCAGGGCCGAGCGGTGCCGAAGGAGGCCGAGCGGTGCCGAAGGAGGCCGAGCGGTGCCGAAGGAGCCCGAGCGGTGCCGAAGGAGGCCGAGCCGCCGCCGCCCCCCGGTATTGTCCGCGCGCCGCGGGCCCTGCTGCCGCACCGCCGTGCCGGGTGGGGCCCGCGCGCCGCCTGCGCCCGCCCCGCTGCTGCGCCCCCTGGCGGCCCGGAGGACCCCGAGCACCGTGCAGCCGGCCCGGCCGAGCCGGGTCCCCGGACAGCCTGGAATAGCCCGGACAGCCTGGAATAGCCCGGAGCCCTGCCCTGGGGGTCCCCGGACAGCCTGGAACAGCCCGGAGCCCTGCCCTGGGGGTCCCCGGACAGCCTGGAACAGCCCGGAGCCCTGCCCTGGGGGTCCCCGGACAGCCTGGAATAGCCCGGAGCTCTGCCCTGGTTACTCCTGGCATCCTCGCACCCTCGCTAACCCAGGGCTTGTCAGGTCACAGTACGGCCTGAGGGAGTGGGGGGATGCGCCCTCGTGGCACTGCACCCCGACACTCCGGTATCCCCAGCTCCCCTGCAGCCTTCCCCGCTGCACCCCCAATGCCTGCACACCCCCAATATCCTTCCAGCCTGAGCTCCTGTGCCCCCAGCACCTCTTCAGCTGGTGCCCAGTGCACCCAGCACCTGTGTCCCAGTGTCCCAGTGACCCCGTGCCGGGCACCTGCACCAACACCCGCAGGTACGTTCCCTGCACCCGTGGCCGTGCCCTGCCACAGCACACCCCAATCCTGCGCCTGTACCAGTGCCCCCCGGAGCCCACAAACCTGGGAGTGCGCTGGGACCCCTGGCACACCCAGCAGGGCTGAGCCAGCTCGTGGGGCTGCCCCTCTGCCCTCCTGCCCCACTGCGGTCCACGCCACCGTCCCCCTGGTGTCACCAGCCCTGCTGTTGTCACCTGCCATAGGTACAGCCACGTCCGAAGGATGGTGTGGCAAGGTAACACCAGAGGTGCCCCAGCAGGGACCTGGCTCCCGAGACTCGGGGAACACCGGTGGGTGAGATGGGGGACCTGGAGGTCCAGCCTGAGGGAGGTGCACCCGCTGTGACGGGACCTCCATGAGCACAGAGAGGACCTCATCCACTTGCTGTTTTCTTCACTCAAGTTCACTTTACAAGGCTTTATGGCTTTGGAGGCTGTGCTTTGACCTGCTGCTTGGCCTCAGGCCTCAGTTTCCCCAGGTGATGCCTGCGTGATGATTCAGGTGCAGGGTGCAGGGATGGTTCAGGTGCAGGGTGCAGGGATGATTCAGGTGCAGGAGGTGCAGGGGGTGCAGGGGGTGCAAGGGGTGCAGGGAGCAGGGTGCAGGGATGGTTCAGGTGCAGGGTGCAGAGGTTCTCAGGATGCTGCCTGTCCCTCCTGGGGACATGGTTCTCAGGATGGGGCCACCCAGGGCCCCCAGTACCAGTGTGCTTTGCCTGCCTGGCTGGGCTGTACCTCCCTTGAAGCACAGGAGCACCGTGAGGAGAAGGACAGCTACCATACCTGGGGTTTAAGTGGGAGAGAGAGGAACAGGAGCAATCCTGGCTGTGCTGAAACCCCTGGCCAAGCTCAGGGGTTTAATGCCAGCCCAGGGCATGGGGAAACATGAGATTTTGGAGAGATTCCTTTCCTCTGCCTGCTGGGCACGCTGTGCTCTTTATGCAGTGGGTGAGGCAGCTCCTCGGGACACTCAGGACACAGCCAGAGCAGATCAAACCCTGCTGCACCCCTGACATGAGGTGAGCCCAGGATGGGGTTTGGCAATAACACAGCTCAGCACAGCCCCCAGCACTGCTCAGGGAGTCAGTGCATAGAGGATGGACAGAACTCACACAGTGGCCAGGTAAGTGTGGAACAGATGGAGCTGGTAGAAATTGAGATCAAAAGGCAGCAAACCTGCTTAACCGATCATAATCTGCATCAGACATCTGAGCTAGAAAAACTCCTGATGGGGAATCTAGGAGGAGGTGACAGCACCCCTGGCCCAGCTGGGATCCTGGTGCTGCTCCTGCATGCCTTGGGAGACTCTTGTGCAGCCCTTGGCCTGAGCCTGCCTGAAGAGCTGGCCTCTGGACAGCAAACTGAAAGCATGAGGACAATGATGTGTGTCCTGCTATCCAGGCAGTGCAGGAAAGCTCTCCAGGTGCAGTTTGCAAGTCTTCCATTTCTCCTGCCTGATGGCAGTGGGCGAGGAAAGGCTTGAGGAGGGGGATGCTGAATAAAGTCTGTCTCACAACTCAGACCTCTATCAGTGTCTCCAGACATTAAAGGCAACACCAAATTACCTGAGAAGACAAAGTCCTGAGCCAGGCATAGACAGGCAGGGAGCTTGCAGAAGCTCCACAGCCTCTCCAAGTGCCCAAGCATCATGCAGGAGTTCCACAGAGAACACAATTCCCCCCCAAAGCACCTGCTGGGCAGGCTGGGGCATGAGGCAGGGCTGGCATTAGGAACAGGGGGATTTCTCTGCTAGGATGATGGAAGTGCAGTAGGTGAAAGGACATTACTTGAGATTACTCCTTTTCCTGCTGCTGGGCCAGGAAGTGGATTTCTTCCAGGTGCCAAGGGAGGGAAGTGGACAGGTAAAACCATTGGGCAGCAATTCAGCTGCATTTTGGGAACCCATGGAGTGGTGAAGGGGTACATCATGCACACAGTCCTGAGCTGGGGAAGCTCAGGGAGCCCAGGCAAGCTCAGACTCATTCAGCAGGAAGACTGATCCTGTTTTCCCTGGATCTCACACTGGGTCATGTCACAGCTTATGACATGGGCAGGCACAGACTGGGCAGATCCCATCTCCTTCCCAGCTGGGTGTCCAATGCCCATCAGCCAAGGGCAGCTTTGAACACCTTCATAGTACTTTAAAGCACTTTTACAGAATATTTCCATCTCCATGCTTTATGACAAAATGTTTTTCCATCTTCTATTTTTTCCTCCTGGACTCATGAGTTAAAAAGACAACCTAATAAAACCCAAATATTATTTTGTTCTCATTTCAGAAGAAAACCTCCAAGGATTCAAAATCCCCACCCTCATGTAACAGAAGGCAATTGGGAACACATGACTTGCAAACTGTGCTTGGGAATCTCCCCTGCTAGGAAGAGGGGAGGTTTGGGTTGGATATTGGGGAAAATTTCTTCCCTGAAAGGGTGGTCAGGCACTGGCACAGGCGGCCCAAGGAGGTGGTGGACTCACCATCCCTGGAGGTGTTCAAGAAGCAACTATACATGGCAATTCCTGCTACAGTTTAGTGGACACAATGGGGTTTGAGCAGAGGTTGGACTCAATGATCTTGGAGATATTTTCCAACCTCAATAATTTTATGATGCTACTTTAAAGCTGTTGAGAAGGTGTTGGCTGAAGGTGGAGAGGAAAGCAAGCTGTTGAACGCTGTTAGCTGACTGCACTAAGCCATCAAGGTGTGTCTTTAGCAAGAAGACCTTCATGGTGCATGTTTGGAGCAAGCCCAGCCCTGCCCACAAAGGATGCACAGCAAGGACAGAGGCTCTGTTTATTTCAGGGTAGTTCCACCGGCGCTGTGTTTAACGGGATGAACATTTGTGTGCAGCTGAAAGGCAAACCGTGCTCCCAGCATCTGCCAGCTGCAGTTCTTCTGCACAGATTGCTCTTCTGCTTCAGGATCTTGCACCTCTCAAAAGCCAAAGCTTCTTTCTATGGGTGAAATCTGCCAGGAGCCAGCAGCAGTGGCCACCTGGAGCACCCACTGCACCACCTCACCTTGCTCATCCTCAGGGTCCCCGTGGGCTGGCTCATCACCCCGAGGGACATTCATGCTGCTGCTCTGTGGCCTGGCAGCATCAGGAGAGGTTTTGGTGAAGGTGTCCCCGAGGCTGGTGCAGGAGAGGTCAGAGCAAGGAGCCACAAGCCCGGTGGGAGCCCTGCACTAGTGGCCTCCCCCATCTGGCAGCTGGGAAGCGTAGAGAGCTAGTGTGTGATGGAGGAACTGGTACTGCTCGCTCGTCTGGATCATCCCACCTCTGCAAGGGAAAGGCAGGGCCCACTGACACTTCACCAAACACAGAACCCTGTTCCCAGCTATCTGCTCCCAGGGCACAAATATTCCTGCTTCTCCAACCACGTCAAGATGCCTCTGAAACAGGCACCAGAGCAGCCCAAAGAATAGAGGGGTTCAGAAGCATTGCTGGGCTGTTCAAAATGAGATTAGCAACTGATTTGGTGCTGATTTTCACCTGTACTTCTTGAAAAGTGATCAGGTGGAGTGTTTCTGGATTTAGTGGCTGAGCTGGAAGGGAGGAGCAGATGGCTGGCAGGTTCCCAGCCCCTCTCCTCTCTCTCCCTCTCCCTCCAAGTCCTCAGGTCAGAGCTACCCTCTCTGACAGCAGAAGCAGCCTCGCGCTGGCAATTGTTTGCTATTCACACACCTGCATCCCCCAGCCACCCTTCTGGTTTCCATCAGAAATAGTCCCCATGGGATGCCCATCCCCATGTCCCTGCCACATCCCCCCCACACCCCTGCCCTCAGGGTGCACCCAGCAGGACCCTCCAAGGAGCCAGCTGCTCTGTGTACCCACCTGTCTATGCGGAGATGGCACACAATTCCAAGGATATCCACCTCCCCCTTGTCCTGCAGCTGCTGGCACCCGATCCTGGTGGCAATGAAGCAGCCGGTGCGGCCAATGCCTGCACTGCAGGACAGACACAGCTGTGCTGAGCACCCACAGCCACTGCCTGCACCTGCATCCTGCTCAACTGGATGCACTCCTGGATTGGTTTGCTGTGATTTTTTCCTAGAGGGATGCTGGGGTCCTGGCCCCAGCTGCCAGACCAAGCTCATTAGCCAGGCACCAAAAGTCATGGGCTGGGGTTACTCTGCCATGGCAAGGAGTTCTTGCCGTGTTGCACAGCCTGGCTGAGGCTGCTCTGGAAGCACAAAACCAGTCTGTGTCCATCCTTGTGCAGTGCAGGGGGCTCTGCATCCCCTCCCCTCCCAGCTGGGCTCTAACCCTAGCACCACTGGTTTGCACTCAGCCTGCAGCAGTGCATGCTGCATGTTCCATAGGGACCCCAGATGCTCTGCTCCACTGTCCCCAAATTCACCCAGCAAGGAGAGAAAATAGGCAGAGGCCACCTCCTGCAGGAGGGCTGTCCTGCAACACAGCTCCACATCCAAGCCACAGGCCATTCTTACCTGCACAGGGAGCAGGAACCCCAGAATTACAGAATGGGTCAGGTTCAAAGGGACCAACCTTGGGGTCACCAGGTTCCATCTCCCTGCTCAAGCAGGATCTTCCAGAGCTGGAGCTGTGGCTGTATGGTGGGGCTGGGTCCCAAATGCAGACCCCTCCTGCTCCCACCCTGCTGGAGCCAGGTGCAGGATATGCCAGACTAACACCACCATCCTGCTGCCAGGACAGCAGCTGCTGATAGACAGCTCTGCCGTGGGGTGGCTGCGCCCTGGGATTTCTGCACCACCATGGGAGCTGTGCATGAGGACTCACGTGGGATTTTCCCCTCAGGTATTTGCAGACTGACCCCGAGGAGAAGCACAGACAGGTGAGGTGCAAGCTCTTACCTGCAGTGCACCACAATGGGCCCTGGGCTGGCTGCAGTCTGCAGAGCCTCCTCCACCTTGGACACCAGGTGCAGCAGGGGCTTGGCTGACTCAGGTGTTTGCTGGTCCGGCCAGGAAGGGAAGAGGATGTGTTTGACTTTGCGGTGCTCCTTTCCAAGCTTTTCCAGACAAAACAAAGAGGAATGGGGGTGTGAGAGCATGGGCCAAATGAAACGGGGAGCTCAGCTCAAGCAGAGGCCAAGCAGCCCGTACCCACCTCAGCCACCCTCCTCCTGAATCCCTCTTCGAGCCTCTGCCAGACCTGAGGCAGAGTCCCCTGGGCCAGAGACAATGGATGTCTCAGAAGATGAGAACAGATGCAGAGTGTTCCAATTCTGTCACCAGAGTGCAGGCAAAGCAAGCAAGATCCCTTGGGCCAGTATCAGCCCAGGGTGACTAGAGAGCCCAGTGACAGTGCAAAAACACTGGGCTGGTGGTGCTGCTCTGCCCAGCTGACCCCTTCTCCTCCAGGGCTGGGTCCTGCTCCCTCCCAGCCTCTCCAGGCAGGAGGGGCTCTGCAGACCCCTTCTGAGAATCATGAACCCTCCTCTTTCCTGTCACACAGCATTGCCATCTCACTAGATGTCCCAGGCCTGTCAGGGGCACTGCTGGGCCCCAACGTGCTCCCTCTCTGACCCCAGGATGAGGCTCAGACCCACCTGGATGGAGAGATCCCGGATCACGTACTCCACAGACTCGCTCAGCCCCTGCACGTGGATGGTGAAGGGGCCATAGGTGCCCTCCTTCTCAGGCCAGTAGTGGACACATTTCTGGAGAACAAGGCAGGTTTGTGGATGTGGAGACGCTCAAGGCACCCACTGGACATTTGAACTGTGCCTGAGTCAGTGCTCTTGGGAGGGGGCATCGCCTTGGGGCCAGTAGGGGAGTGGGGAATGTAGAGTGATACAGAGGGAAAGCAAAGGGATAGATCCCTACCCCTACATCTGCTGCCCTGTACCCTCTCCCATGCCCTGCCCTGGCTTTCAGGCCCCAGGGATGCAAATCCCCGCTCAGCCAAAGAAGCTTCCAGATGCAGCAGGACCCAGGGCACAGAGAGGCTGTCAGCTGGGAGAGAAGGACCAAGAACATGGCCCAGAAAGAGAGTTTCCAGTTCTCAGTTTTCCCAGACAGGTCCTGTTGGCTCCCATCCCAGAAGCAGTGGGCAGCAGTGCCCCTCTGGTCCCCCAGAGCTCTCCCCTGGGCTGGATCCCCTGGTTGAGAGCTCCCAGTCCAGGGAAGAGCTCTGGGGAGCCAGAGGGGCACTGCTGCCCCATCCCTGGGGGTTGTCCTAAACCCTTTATCCTATTATCCAGATGGTAAAGTGTGCCCAGAGCACACAGCCATGTGAGGAGGAAAATCTTTGCCAGATAGGGCCAAGCCCTGGGGATCTCCTCCTCCACTTGTGACCCATCAGGGAATCCTCTGAGCCAAAAGCACAGTAAGTGGGTGCACAGACCCCACATCTGGCCTGGCACAACCCTCCACTGTCACTGGTGCCCCACTCCCCGCTGTGCCCCCCGGGCCGGGTCAGAGGTACCTCCTTGCACTCCTGGAGCTCAGTGATCATGACGATGAGAGGAGCCTCCTCCTGCCACACCATCTCCCAGAAGTCAGTCACGGTGTTGAGCATGGGTCCCTGCGTGGCAATGTACTCCTGGGGCCGGCCCGCGTAGCCCTGCGGAGCACGCGCCCGTCAGGGACCCCGCGGGCAGCGGGGCTGTCCCCAGCTCACTCACGGTGCTTTTCTCCTCCTCTGTGGTTTAGAGGCTGAGCCACACATGTTGTCTCCTACTAAACCTGTCCTTACAATGCTTTTATAGATCTGCTGAGGAACCACCAGGCATCCTCCCCACCCTGCTGCTCCCACCAGTCCATGCAGCTGACCTTGTACACCCGAGCTCCTGCAAGCATCCCCAGACTATCAGTGAGACAACAGTCAGCACGAAGGATGCCTTGGCAAGGCAAAGCTCACACTCCTCACTGTGGGCATTTCCACAAGGACAAGCAGGAATCTCTGTTTCACAGCTCCAAGCATCCTCTGTCTCCAAGCTTCTCCTAGTATAAAATTGCTGAAGGTACTGAAAATCCAGGCCTTCCCAGCAATCTCATAATGGTTTGGTCTTGCAAGAAGTTGCACTGGCCCAGCTAAGGGACAAGAATGTTTTCAGGAACATTTTGTAGAGCCCTATTTTTATGCCTTGAGATTATTTATTTTTCCCAGGAAACATGATTTTCCATTCAGGAAACCTGGAGGTGTCAACCCTGGGAATTCCACCTTCCTCCCACACCCACACCAAACATTTCATGGAACACCATCAGCAGGAAGAACATCAGTCCCAGGTGGGGTTGATGTGATCAAACACCTGCAGAGCCCTCCCAGATTCCTGTGCTTCCCAGGCATGCCCAGGCTGGCTTGGTTGCCAATTTTCGGATGCGCCCACAAATTCCTGTACCACTACACCTTTGGAGAGGTCAGGGGAAGGAAGGGGTCAGGAAACATCAGCTGCACACAGGGGGGTGTGGGCACAGCTTCTGGGGGACACTGCAGCCTGGAAGGGTTTGCACAGGGATGGCTATCAAAACCAAGTTGTCTGAGTAACACCCTAGGGTGTGGGGATTTCTCAGTCTCTGGAAAGGAACCCCACCGGGTGCCAAAAATAAGCCACACCCCATCTTCATTAGCTCTCTTCCTGGGAAATTGCAACAAGCTCCCTGAGCAGAGAGGAAATCCCAGGACATGTGAGCTTTGAGGATCTCTGAGCTGCCATAACCTGTTGACACAGCTTGCCTCTCATGGCCTTGCCAGACAATGGGCCAGTGTGTGAGGAGATGGAGAAGCCACTGCAAGGGAGCCTTTTGGGGTGCTCAGGCTGCCCAGGAGCTGAGAGCAGCTCCCTCATATGACTCTCCCACCAACAGGAACAGTGTATCTGCCCTGAGCAGATGGAGCCACATCTCTCCAGCTCCAAAAGGGATGGCAAGTTAAGTCTGCTGCTCCAGGGCAGCCACGGGAGAGCAGGTGACAGTGCCCCAGCACGTGTGACCCAGTGTGGCACCTGGTGCCTTGTGAGCCCTGGGCTGCAGGCCCTGGGAGGACACTCACTGTGATGTAGTTGGCATTTATGTAGCTGTCTTCCTCCTGGCTCCCAGCCCTCCTGAGGCAGACCCGGCTCTCAGGATCTGAAAGATGTCACAGGTATTACCCAAGGGACTGGTCCTGCCCATCCTCCCTGCCTCAACCTCAGGGGCTGGAGGCTGAGTCCTCCTGCTCCATGCCATGCTCAGAGCTGTCTGCACCCTCCCTTAGGCCTGTTCTTGTTCCACCTCAGCCTCACTCCCCTGGCAGGGCACAGCCCAAACCTGCAGGTACCACAATGAGCAGGTGGGGTAACTCAGCTGCAGTGATCCCCCAGGACATACCCACAGAACCTGACTGGAGCCCAGCTGAGTCCTTCCAGAACATCCTCAGCCTTTACATCCTTAGGGCCATGCCCTTGGGACATGTAAGACCCCACGAGTGCTGCCTGCCTGGGTAGGACCCCAGGGAGCAGCTCCCATGTACCCCCCCCAGCACTGTGAACACCCCCTGGAACACAGCACCCAGCTCCTGCAACACGGGCAGGAGGGGCATGGCAGGAGCAACAGCAGCACCCAGGGCTGCTCTGGGTCATCCCTCACCCACAGGCAAACAGAGGCAAATGGGAGGCAGAGTGACACAGGAGCACATACTGGGGAGAATGGTTTTGTATCTGTCCTTGAAAGCACGTCCAGGGATTTCCAGCTCCTCCGGACTCACGAAGTTGGGTGGGATTTTCTGCAGGGGGAGAAAACAGCCTTGAGGAAAAGCTGCCACTCGTGTCCCCTGGTGCTGGCAGACCTGGTTGCCCAGCAGGGCAGAGCTGACCCAGGAGCCCAGCAGCATTCCCAGAGATGCCAACTCCTGGGATGAGTCCTGCCTTTCCTCCATTTATGGTGGGACTCCTTCCAGAGAGGCAACCCTGGGAGAAGAGCATGGTATGGGAGGGACCATGCCATTCCAGGGACCCCAAGAGGACATGTGTGCACCAAGGAGCAGGTGATACCCTCCCCTCTGCTTGCCCACGCCGCCTGCCCTCCCACTGGGGCTGTGGGGCACAGCTGGGCTCAGAGCCTGATGTTCACCCCTGTCAGTCCCACCAGCCCCTGCCACCCCTCCTGTGAGAAGGGAGGGGGAATCGTCACACCGAAAACTCCTCCTGGAGCTGTGCCAGGCTCTGGGCGTGCTGCTGGAGCTCCTGCTTCCTCAGCACGTGGCTGGATGTCCTCAGAAACTTCAGCGTGATGTCCCGTGGCGTGCAGACAGGCTGGATGGGCTCCATGTTCCCTAGAGAGCTCATGTCCAGCACGAGCGATACATTGGAGCCCCTCCTGAAAGGTAAAGGGGTCCCTGGCTGACCTACTGCCACCGAGACAGAGGACAGCCCATCCCAGTGTATCATCAGTTGAAACCACCCCACACTGAGCAAAAGCCAGATGGAGACCCCAGTAGATGGGGAGATTGAGGAACAAGGAACTAGCTGATCATTTTGCCTTTTTGCTGGGAAGCCCCTGAAGGATGGTGTTGAGATTTGTCCTGGGCTGGGTGGAGGCCAGGGCTGCCTCCACACTCAGACCTGGCAGCTGCACATGCTGGCAGGCAGAGGGCTGGCAGGAAGGAATGTCAGGGGAGCCCTGGGGTTGAGCAGTGCCATGGGTACCCTGGCTGGGCCACACTCACCTCTCCTGGAGACGCACGTGCTTCTTGGCAGAGGGACTGGGCTTGTCCGGCTTGTCCATGTCTGCTGCAGCTGCCCAGGCTGCCAGGCTGCTCTTATGAACTCTGGAGCACAGCAAGCAGGCTTGGACCATGCTGCAGCAACCACAGAACCCTTGTCCTGAAGCACAGCAGGGGCACACAGGGAGCCCTCAGCTCCTGGGAAATCATGGAACCATCAGAGGAAAAGCAGCTGGAAAAGAAAAGTCAGATCTGAGAGATACCACAAGGCTGGGTGGAGCCCCCGACAGACGGTCTGCAAGCAAGGGACGGATTTTATGTCCTCAGCTGTCCTGGACCCAGGACCCCCAGCCCCTCCAGGCAGATGGAGAGCTCCCAGCATGTTCACCTTTGGGGATGCCTGCAGCACTGCAGCCCATCCAGGCACCACTGGTGACCCTGGCCATGGCACCAAGGGCCACCTGCTTCCCCTGAGGGGAGGACATCCACTCTGTGGTGGCAGGGCACGGTCTGGTTTGGGGGAGCCCCAGATGCTCTCCACCTCCATGGAAGCACACACCCTGTGTTTCCAGCCCTTCCCCATCACATCCCCCTGCTTCATCCTGGGGACATGGTGGAGAAGAGTGAGAGCTGGAATGCCTGAGCACAGCAGCGCTCAGCAGGTGACATGCTGTAGCCACTGCACTGAGTCTGGCCATCTCCTGCTGCAGGGAGACACAGACCAGGAACCCTCAACAGCCTCATGGCAAGGGAGGGATGGCCCTGGGACAGCCTCCTCCATCCTGCAGGTCACAGCAACTATCAAGAGGAAACCGCTTTATCTGGGTGGTTGAGCAAAAGTGACTGGGCAGCCCAGCTGGGGAAGGTGACAGACATCCTCCATCATCAGCGATGGCTCAGCCCCTGGCAGGGCTGGGGAGATGCAGGTGATGCTGATTCACCTCTGGGCACAGCTCCTCATGGTGCAGGCAGCACCCTGGGATCCTGAACCACCTCCTCATCCCCAGCTTCCTCCATGAGGAGGAGACAGCGTCACAGAGACAGGGAATGATGCAGAGTCAGAGCTCTTGGTGGGCAGAGTGGGATCCCATCTGCTCGGGGAGGTCGTGTGGAGAGCCAGGGTCCACATGGTGGTTGGAACACAGCTAGGGCAGGAGCTGCTCCCCGAGCTTCCCTGCTGCCCAGTGGCATTTCTGGGAGTGGCAGTGCCACCCCTGCCACTCACACCATCCCCACACCCCATGCAGGGTATCCCGGTGTTCTCCATCCAGGCAGGATAAGAGCAGCCGCTCAGCAGGAGCAGCACCAGGGGAGATCCTGCCCAGAGACAGCCCAGGCTCCCATCCCAGCTGCTGTCCGGCCAGGAAACACCTGGGAGATGCCCTCGCCAGCAGAGACACCCAGGGAAGTACCTCAGCTGCCAGCAGCTGCAGGGAGAGTGCTCACATCCCCTGCCCAGCATCCCAGCCCTGCCTGGCGCTGCCATCCACATGCCCACCGCCCCTGGGCACCGGGGCCCGGCGGCTCTCCTGTGCAGCGGGCAGCTCGCCCGGCCTGGCGCTGCCTACCTGCGGCCCTTGGCCTCGTCCGTCCCGGCACCGCGGGCACCGCGCCTGCCGGGCTCACACCACGCTCCCAAAGTGTTCAGGAAGCTGCTTATCAAAGGAGCTGCTGCCTCTGCTGCTTCCTCTCCTCCTTCTCCCCCACCCCGAGTGCCGCCCACACACATACCGGCCACATCTCCGCCGAGCCGGCGCTCCCGGCCCCGCTGCACAGCGGCCGAGCTGCGGCCTGCGGCCGGGGCAGCCCCGCTGGGGCCGCTGGGCTGTGCTCCGTGGCCTGTGGCCAGCCCTGCCCGTGGGCACGGAGGGACGGGCAAGGCCCGGCCATGGGGGCCGCTGGGCTGTGCTCCGTGGCCTGTGGCCAGCCCTGCCCGTGGGCACGGAGGGACGGGCAAGGCCCGGCCATGGGGGCCGCTGGCAGGAGGTGTGAGGCAGGTTGCTTGGCACGGCTGCTCTGGGGGCAGCGCACCCCAGCTGCCCCACGGGAAGCCGGAATGAATCCTCCCATGCCCGCTGTCCTGCCCCTGTCCCCTTGCCCAGGCCGTGCCCCGGCTGTTCCCCGTCGGCTGTGGAATGTGCCAGGGCTCGCTCGGTGCCTGCCACCCTCAGGGCCTGCCCGTGTGCTCCTTGTGCCACCCCGTCCCCCAAGGCCTGTCCCCGTGGGGACACCCCTCTGCACCCACCACCATCCCCGGGTACCTCAGGGTGACACGGGTGGGCTCCCCCTCCCCAGCGGGAAGGACAGGGGTGTATTTGGGGACGAAGGTCTGCGGGACCTGGCTCAGGTAGGCCAGGTCTGCCCAATTTGGGGCACTGCACATCCTTCCTGACACATCCCCACTGCTCTTCCTGTTTGCTCTTGCCAGGCTCTGCACGCTTCCTTCCTCCTCAGCCCCCACCCCGCTGAGCTCCCGCTGCACCCCAACAGCCACAAGGACCCCAAACACCATTCCCACGTCTGCTTCACGGGCTGCTCTGGCTGGAGCCACCCCACCCCAGCTCACTGAGGTGCCTGCGCTGTCCCCAGGCTGTGCCTCGCTGGAGAGCTGCGTGTCTGTGCACACCTGTGTGTCTGTGCACACCTGTGTGTCTGTGCACACCTGTGTGTGTGCAGGTGTGCCAGAACAGCTTCCCTGGGCAGCCCTGGGAGACCCTGCCTGTGCCACCTTCTGCCCAAGGACTAGGAGATCAGAGGACCCAAGCTCCAGAGCGAAGTGCTGGGCTTGGCCAGCAGCAGAACAGCCTTATCCTTGAGAAAAGGCCACCAGCACCCCTGTCTTACCTGCAAATCCTAGAGTGGCCAGAGGAAAGACTGAGGAATTTCTCCTTGCCCTGTGTGGGATGAAAGAACACATCTGTAAGGCCTAGAGGCAGCCCCACCACACACTGACCTTCCTTCCCACCTGTCCCTGATAGAGCTCAGGAATTCCTGGGATGACCAGCACTGAAGGACTTAACAAGGTGTCTACATAAACTTGCTCCCAGTAGGAACCAGAGTGAACAAACAGGGCCCTGTGCTGGAGTACCAGCCTGTCAGACGTGCAGAAGCTTCCTGAGGCTGGGACTGTATCTGCCCTCTAAGTGTGGAGGGCACCTGTCCCATCTGGGTGTCCTTGAGCTTAAAGGGTTCTTGAGGATAGAGTCAAGATGCAAACCCCTGGAGCTGCTTTTTCTGCCTTTTGCTGGCCTGATCTTGCTGTCTCCTCACTGTTCTGTTCCTCTGCCACTGCTGGACAAGCTCAGGACAAGCTCAGTGTGGCACTGGGGCAGATACCACAGGGCCACCAGCACGTGGAGTCACCAGGAATGCACCAGTGGCATCTGTGCACCCACACTCCCTCCCAACCTCCCCAGCTGCTGGGTGCCTGTAACAGGGAGGAGAGACACAGCTGGACCCTCACAGAGCTCATAGGGTCCAGAGAAAGTCTGCAAATCACCCCAAAGGGGCAAAGCAATGGGGCTGCAACAGCTGGGCTGTCCAGGGGCCCTCGCTGGACCCAGGAGGCACCACAGCACATCCTGATTCTCTGCTCAGTGGAGACCTGGGACAGCACTGGCCTTTGGGAGCTGGATTTTGGCTGGTTTTCCCCAAAGAGAATGGGAATGTTTTACCAACACATGATTTTATGCATGACACAAACTCCAGCTGCAAAAGGGGTATGGAACAAAGGCTTTTATGGAGGCCAGGAACTCCCGTGTGCTGCTCGTTTCAGTGATCTGTGGCCCAGTGTGATTTAAGAGATTTGATGAACATTTCAAAGGATTTCAGCAGTAAGTCCCTTCTTCCTCCTGCCAGGTTCTGCCTTGGTCAAGAAATGCCCCTGGATGCTGCTGGAAAGATGCTGATGCACTTCCTTTGCAAAATAGATTATTTGGTTCCACTCAAATTTGGTCATGACAAAGGACACCACTCAGGGTAAAAAGAGGAAGCTGAGATGCTGGGATGCAGTGTATCCTCTGCCTCTGAAGCATCACAACACCAAGGCACTCATGCTCAGGGATGTCCCCAGAAAAGCCTTGCAGCCCTTTCCCTCTGCTGCTCACAGATCTCCCTGTGCTGCTGGCTTGGCTCTGCCAGTCATGCACCTGCCTGTGCCAGCTGCAACTAAACAGGACACCTAAGATACAGCCTCTGGAAACTACACCTGGCCCCCCTGGGCTTTTCCTTCTGCAGAAAACTCTGATGGAGACTGAAGGTACTGTCCTGGCCATGGCAACTCACCCAGGGTAGGAGGAACGTAGTAGGGATTTTGTGTAGGGATGTGCCACGGCCCAGGCTCCTAGGAGCAGAAAAGTTTGCACTGCTGAGATGTCCTGAGCCTTACATACCTCTGATGGTGCACAGCTGGACCCCAGTGTGCTCCCACCTGCCAGCATGGCTGCTCTTCCTCCCTTCTGCCAAAGCACCAGCATGCAGAGGAGGTGCATGTGAGGGAGATCATGGCAGGTGACACAGACCACAGACCCACAGTATGAAAATGAAGATGCTGGTGGAAAATGAGGCATAAGGTGGTAGAGCTAGGCTGGATGTGAGTGAGACAAGGAGCAGAGGGAGTCAGAACACACTGCTTGACAGGGCATTTTTCAGCTCTCAGTGCCACCCGGGCAACAAGCTGTCCCCTGTGCCTGTTGCACCCACCTGCACCTGCTGCCCTCCTGGGACTGACCCCTGCCCCCTCCTGCCCGCCCGCTGGGGTGCACGGCCACACGTGCAGAGCAGATGTCCCCAGTCACCCATCGGTGCCCATGCGTGCTGGTGTGCAGAGACCTCGAGCAGGGCAGTCCAGACATGCCCTCCCTCCCTCCCTCCCTCCCTCCCTCCCGATGCACCTCTGGGCACATCCCTTCTGGCCACATCTGAGCCCCTGCTTGGAACACGATGCTGCCAGCTGGCTCCTCCTGAGGGAACCTGGCTGGGTTGGCAGAGGGGTGCAGTGGGGAGCAAAGAGCTGGGAGATGCTCTGGCCAGGGACTGACTGTGCCTTTTGTGTGTAGCCGTGCTTGTCCCATGTCACATCACCAGCTCTGAAGCAGCTGCACCAGGCTGGCCTGGGGAGCAGAGCTGCTCAATCCTACAAGCAGGGACTGCTGGGGCCAGGGCAGACCTGGCTTTGAGGGTGTTCAGTCTGGGGGCAGATCCCAAGCCAGGGTCAGTTTGCTGTAAGGACAGGACCAGGACACTGGGACAGCCACTGCAGTCTGGTGTGGGCAGAGAGGAACCTGACAGTCTCTGGGGGCAAAACCCAGGAGGGGGTGGGAGGAAGCAACACTGCAGGAAATGACTCTGGGCAGGTCACTGCTGTGCCCCTCACCTTCCTGCCTCCCTCCCCTGCTGGGGAAGGACTGGGGAGGTCCCAGAACAGGAGCATCCCTTGTCCACCAGCATTCCTTTCTGCTCTGACCTTGGTAGCAGTGGGGTGTCAGGGGTGACAATGATGGGCAGAGCGGTGCTGGGTTGGTGATGGAGGGATGCACATGGAGGGAAGAGTCCCAGCTGTTACCACACCAGCCATTCACCCTGGCCCAACCAGGGATGTGCCAGACATGGGATCCCTTGTGTCCTCTGTCCATGGACATCTGTGCATTAGGATTATCTGTTGGGATTTAAAGACTAGAGAGGTCTGTGACAGAGTCTCAGGGGCCTTGAAGGGTCCTCATAGGTGTGGCTTTGCTTTCAGCAAGATATGGGGTCCATATAGAGTCGGTGCTCTGGAGAGGATGATCTGGATTTATCCCTGACTGGTACTTGCTGTTTGTTCACTTGCATTTTAAAACTCCACTTCCATGGGGTCATCTTGCACCTCTGGCCATGATTTCAAAGCCGGCTCCCTCTGTGCAAAGAGCACATTCCAGCTCCAGACTGGGACCTGTTTTCCCACTAACAACCAGCCAATCCTTATGCCCATTTCTGCCCCCCAGCCTCCTGACCATGAGCTACCTGACCCAGCCTCCCGGCCCTGATACCCCCCCCCCCAGCATCTCTCCTCACCCTCTCCTCACAGCACTGTAGCCCCAAAGTCACCTCAGCCTGGGCAGGCACCGAGCTGGCAGCCCAATAGTTTCAGTCCCCAGGATTGCCTACCACAGCATGGCTTTGTCCCATCAGGCCCCGTCACCTCTGGGTCCGGCACTCAGGAAGGGATGGTTCTGCTTCCGTCGACACGATTGGGAAGTCAGGATGTCCTGCAGGCTTTTGGAAATTAGCCCATCTCCTCCGCTGCCGGAACATCGCTCGCAGGCTGCAAGGTGAAGCAGCTGCCTGGGCACTGAGCAGACTCTCTGCAGACTGCCAGGGCGGAGGAGGACGGTGCAGTCACGCCGAGCATCCCGCAGAGCATCCCGCAGAGCATCCGGGCCAGGGGTCCGTGGGGGAGCGACCCCTCGGAGCCTCACCTGGGGGTCCCCCGGCCGCCGAGGGCACAGCCAGCCCCCGGCAGCCGAGGGAAGCACCTCCGCAGATCGCTTTTCCGGAGAACAGCGGCTCTCCCTTCCAGCGTTCCCAAGGACAGCCCCGGCAGGAGCATCCTCCTGGGCAGGGCTGCGGGAGCTCAGAGCCCACAGCGCAGCGCTGCCTGCGAGCCCGGAGCCTCGGGCACCCCGCACCAGGGATGGAGCTGATCCTGGGCAGCGAGGCGGAGGCAGAGGATGTGGGACCTTTCTCCCCGTGGCCGGTGGTGACGGTCCGTGCAGAGTTTGCTCCTGCTGCTGCCTGCCTTGAGCTGGGGGCAATTAAGCAATTGCTGGTTCGTTTTGCCGAGGCGTTGCCGCTGATCCTGCCAGCCCCTGTGCTTCTGCCCCCTCCTCAAGGAGAACCAGAAGAGTTTAGGACCTGGATTTCCTGCTTAACTGCTGGATTGTTTTCTTTGGATCATTCTGTTTGCTCAGCCTAGAGAAGAGGAGACTGAGGGGAGACCTCACTGAGCTCTTCAACATCCCCATGAGGGGCAGCTCCAGTCTCTGCTCTCTGTGACCAGTTACATACAGGACTAGAGGAAACAGCTGGATTTGTGTCAGAGGAGGTTTAAATTATAAAAGGAAAAAGTTTTTCACCCAGAGGGGGGTTGAGCACTGGAATGGGCTCCCCTGGGAAGTGTCCACAGCTCCAAACCTGTCTGAGCTCAAGGAGCATTTGGACAAAGCTCTCAGGGTGGGATTGTTGGGGTGTCTGTGCAGGGCCAGGGGTTGGACTTGATCACCCTGATGGATGCCTTCCAACTCAGCTGATTCTATGATTCTGTGACTGCTGAGTAGAGCCATGTTTGGTTTCTGGAATTAGATACTCTCCTGTATCTCCTGCAAACAAGCTGAGCTTTCTTCTAAATTTGAAAAGCAGAGCTGGTGAACCACCAGCACCACTGGGCTGGGATAACACTGATGCAGAGCTGGTGTTTGCTGTGGCCTTGGCACAAGAACAGTTCCCCTGGGAAAGATGATCTCCCAAAGTGTTTCATATCAGCTTGGTTGGTTCCTCTCCTCATGAGGAAAGAAGCTCCCCCTGTTCATTTTACAGTGGAGTAATAAACCACATGGAGGGACTGTTCCTAAGCCAGGTGTATAGAATCAGGAAATGACAGAAACATTAAGGTTAAAAAATCCCTCTAAGATCATTAAGTGACCACTGCCATGTTCACCACTAAATCACATCCCCAAAGAGTAAGGGTAAAGAGGATATAAGCCAACACATGGCACCAGACCTCCAAGGTGCTGAGACTTTGACACTCTAGTCAGCACATGCCAGTGGAGAAGCCACAGAGGGACAGCAAGAGCCATGGAATTGGTTACCAGGACAGGACACAGCATCTGTGGCAGCACCTGTCTCATCCATCACTTGGGCTTGTCCTGGGCTTCCCTGGATGCCTCCAAGAGAGCTGTGCTTTTGGAAATGCTGTCTGGAAAATGCTGTGTGCTTCGCTTTCCCCTGGGGAGTGAGCCTTGCTTGGACACCAGTGGAGGCACACACACATCCTCTTGGGAGGCTCCAGAGCACGATACTGCCTGCAAAACCCTGCGAGATGTGTGGGCAGGAAGACATCTCTAGGAACAGCACACCCCCAGCTCCTCTCTATCCTCACAGCACACAGGGCAAAGCAGGTCTCAGTGAAAAAGGCACAAAAAGGCCTGAAAATCCTGAAGTCTCATCACGTTACTCCCACCCTGGGTCCCTTGGCACGCAGTAGCAGCGGGGACCTCGGCAGCCTTGCTGGGTTTGCCCAGCACAGCCCTGCTGCCCCCATCCCTGGGCTGCTGCCTCGGGGGGACACAGAGCCTGGTGACCCTGGTGACATCCCTGGGTTCAGGGCCCATTATCAGTAACAGGAAACAAGCTGGGCAGGAGGGGCAGGAGACAGAGACCCAGAAAGAAAGGAAGCGGTTAGAAAGCCGTCACTTCCATTTGTGCTGCACGAGAAGCTGCGCCCACGCACTGACGGGTGTGGGGGAACAGCGCTGCCCCTCTGCAGGCTGAGCTGCTCTGGGGTCACCAGGGACTGTTTGTGATGAAGGCATAGATCCTCTTCTAGCCTTTGATAACAGCTAGAAAGGTGGTTAAAATAGCCCATATTTTAACATCTCAGCCAATGTCCGGTGCAGAGGTAGGTGTGCTGAGTCCAGCCGATGGCACTGCGCAGGGGTTAAGTTTCTTAACCTCGCTAAAGACAGATGTGATGCTGTCTGTGTCCTACCCAGCACAGGATGGACCTGTGGATGCAGCTGCCTGGGCCAAAGGGCCAGGGAGGATATTATATTTTAGGAAAATTATCTTCACTGAAGGGATGATCAGACACTGGCACGGGCTGCCCAGGGTAGAGACAAAGGCATGTAAATGTGGCACCTGGGGACGTGGCTGTGCTGGGGCAGTGGTTGAGCTGGATGATCTTTGAGGGCTTTTCCAACCTGCACAATTCTTTGATGATTCTTGCATGGCAAGAGGCAGCCATGGCAGGTCCCATCTCTCCAGCTGGAGGAGGCTGGCCGTGGATAAGCAGAGGCAGCCAGAGGGCAGCAGTGCAGAGATGATGGATCTGCCCAATGCTGCCCCTCCAGCTCCCAGCCACAACAGAATGTGGGCCTGTCTGCCTTTGAAAGCTGTTCTGGATTGTGCTTTCTGGCCTCAGAAATTCAGGAAGCTGCAGTGTTGGGCCATGCATGCTCCTCCTGTGATTCCTCTGAGTCCTCTTGGTCTTGCTGCAACTGTGTGGGCACGGGAGCTTGCAGGACATGGGGTCTGCTTTGTCCCAGTTCCAGGCATCAGGAATATTCCTGTCTGCTCACAGTCTGAAAGTGCTTCGAGCCACAGGTGCCCCAGATCTGGAGGAAAAACAAAGAAACTGTGAGCTTTTTAGTTTCTTTTCTTGTGCTCTTGGGGCTGAGAGGAGTCCCTAGCTGCTCTGGGGCTGGGAACACCTTTCCTGCCAGCAAGTGCAAGGATGGAGCCATGGAGCTTTCAGCACTGGAGGAGAAATAGAGGCAGCAGAATTGTCTGGTGATTGGTGCCACCAGAGCCCCAGATGCAGCAGAAGTGTTTGGCTTCTTGCCCATGAGAGCTGTGCCTTGCCAGACAGCAGCTGTCCCACCCCCAGGGCTGCTGAGCACCCTGCCCTGCTCCTGCCAGCAGGGCACGGGCTCAGGGCTGGCACCAGGTGGTGTCTGTAGTGACCCTGAGTAAAGCACTGGGTGTCCCACCCACAGGGGCCAGCAGCAGGTCACAGATGTGGTGCCTGGTGAGCGGTCACTGCACAGTGCTGCTGCTGCTCCACCATCCTCCCACCCCCACACCTCACCTCTGGCTTTTGAGGAGCATTTTGGGCCAGAGCAGGTTCCTCTGTAATGCTGAGCCTACCTGTGGGGCTGGGGCCCAGGTCTGTGGTAGCAGGACAGGGCAGGAGAGGTCTGTGCTGGCGAGTGGGGGAGAGGATGGAGAATCACGAGCTGAGCGCCCACAGGGCTGCAGAGAAGGGTGCAAAGGCAGCGAGCTCTGCTCTCAGCTGGGGCAGGACTCCCTTCCTGGCATCATAACCCTGTGGCAGAGCACATCCCACTTGGGCACTACTCCTGCTCCTGTCACAGCCCCTTGGGCACCTCTGCCTGCCCCTCTCCTGTGGGCCTCCTGAGCCCGTCCCCAGAAGCACTGGGGGGACACCTGGTGAGATTTGGGGTCGCTCAGCTTTGGGGAGCTGCAGTCCAGCTGGAGGCCCCACATCCCAATGATGCAGCATCCTGGGAAGGGATTGTTTGGATTCCTCCTTATGATTTCTCAGACCAGAGTGAGAATGTTGTTTCACACAGGCTCAAGCTAATGCCTGAAGCCTAAAAAATCTCTTCTTGTCAGTTCCCATAGGTGATAAATGGAAATGATTAGTGCTAACTAAATTGTAACTATTTGGAAAGTTATTATTATAAAGCAATAAAGGGAATTAGTCTTACAAGGCAGATGGAGCCCTTTGCAGGTGTTACATGTTAAAAATAGGATACAGGATGTAGTTTTAAGATAAGGAATGTCTCAAGACAGAATCAACCTTGAGATGGACCAAGTTGGAAAGACTTTAACTTAGGGTTTGAAATTATGAAATGTAAGATTAAGTAGTAGAACACAATGTTCACTTAATCACACACGCACAACCTGTGAGGTGATCCAGAGGACAATGAGGATGAGTGTAAGCCTTCATCCAAACACCACCAAAAGAAGACTGAAGACGCCCTAGCAACAGGTGAAGTGTGCAGCATGAAGTACAGTGACATAGAATTTAAGAATTGAAAGTGGGATGAAACTTAGAGGAAATATTAATGAATATGTATAAGCATACATATTCATTATAGTAAGTATATAATATATATAAGTATGTAAGTATATAATGTATATAAGTATATAATATATATAAGTATATAAGTATATAAGTATATAATATATATAAGTATATAATATATATAAGTATATAAGTATATAAGTATATAAGTATATAATATATATATGTATATAATATATATAAGTATATAAGTATATAAGTATATAATATATATATAAGTATATAATATATATAAGTATATAAGTATATAAGTATATAAGTATATAATATATATAAGTATATAATATATATAAGTATATAATGTATATAAGTATATAATATATAT